GTAAACGCTGCCACCACCAAGTAATTCAAACAAACATTTAGGGAGGGCCACTTGGAGCCCTATCTTCCCCTAAAATTGCCCCAAGCCCTACACCCCCTTTCCTGGGGAGGCTTGAGAATAAACAAGATGAGCACAAAAACAATCAGATTCTTAAAAAAACTGAACTTTATTAGAAAGAAAAAAGGTAAAAGAAGCACCTCTGGAAAGTTAGAATGGAAGATAATCTCACAGGGCAATTAGATTCAAAACACAGAGGCTTTCTCTCTAGGCAAAACCTTAAAGTTGCAAAAACAAAAAAACAAAAACAAAACAGGAATACACCTTCCTCTCAGCACAGAGAAAAATCACAAGCCAAAACAAAAGATCATCTAACACATTCCCTTGCTAGTACTTACTAATTCTATAGGAGTTGGATTGCTTGCTTTCTTGATCTGTCTCCGGCAAGAGCCACACGGAACAGACAGAACAAAGCCACAAAGCCTCCCTCCTCCCCCCCCGATTTGAAAGTATCTTGACCCCTTATTGAGTAAAAACCTCACTTCTTCGGATGCATAGAGTGAAAGTTCACTCTATGCATCCAAAGAAGTGAGGTTTTTACTCACGAAAGCTTATGCCCAAATAAATCTGTTAGTCTTTAAGGTGCCACCAGACTCCTTGTTGTTTTTGTAGATACAGACTAACACGGCTACCCCCTGATACTTGTCCCCTTATTGGTCCTTTGGGTCAGGTGCCAGCCAGGTTACTTGAGCTTCTTAACCCTTTACAAGTAATAGGATTTTGTGCCTCTGGCCAGGAGGGATTTTATAGTACTGTATACAGAAAGGTGGTTACATTTCCCTTTATATTTATGACAGCTACAATTTGTGGGTTCAAGTCTCAAGTCTTAGTTGGACTCATGGCTATTACTAACATTTGGGGTGAAAGGGATGGCAATAGAGGACATTAGTTTGTATTTGTTTTGAGAAAATATTCCTAACCAATGCAAAATCTAAAAGTTCTTTGATGTTGATTTCTCTGCGTTTGTGACAAATAATGTCTGCATTTATATATCAAGAAAGATTTGATCCTGCAAGCCCTATTCCATATTAAATTGCTGACTAGAATAATACATGCACCATTTCTGATTTTACAGGATACATGAAAAAGTGTACCTGGATGTTTATGGGCAAGATTGAGCAATGAGCAATCGTAATCATTACTGTATTTCTTAGTTAAAATATCATGACCACTTTGTATCATTCAGTGTGGAGTATAGATTTAAGGCCTGATCAAATGCCCATTGAAGTCACCAAGAGTCTTTTTATTGACTTCAGTGGGCATTTGATTAGGTCCCTAATTGTCTTCAATTTACTGAAATACCTGGAATTATAATTAGAATTTTCATTTTTCAGGCTTTAAATAAATGACTTCAAGTTGGGACCTAAACGCTCTTTTTCGTTTTACGTGTTTGTGGCTCTTTAGATATTAGAAAGTTAAAGAACTATTTCATATACTTTTAGTATGATTTGTTGAATAAGCCTTTTTTTTTGTAAAACATGTACCAGTATTTACCAATAAATTATGACTTGCAGAGAATTCAGTACTATTTTAAACAAAATTCAAAGCAAAACACAACACACAAATGGGGAAAATCCTATAATTTGCAGTCAGTCGTTATTCAGGCAAAATTCCCATTTACTTCCAAGGACTGGGCTCAAGGCTTACAACATTTTTCATATTGCTTGCACACATTGGTATTTAGGTCTGTATATCTTTATTAATTTTTTTGTAGAAAAGTAAAGCAGAAATAATTGCAGAGGAAAACCAGAAGCGACTAGAAGCTAAAGAAGAGAAGAAAGAACAGGAACAGTGGAGTGCCTTATCTGTGTCAATTGAAAGGGAAATTAAAGAGAATTTTACCTGTGGAATAAATAAACTGGAGAATTTCCTCAAGACATGTCAAAGTAATTCTGTGAAATTCACAGCAGAAATGGCAGGACTGAATGTCTGTTTAGAAGTTTGGAAGGAACACTGCAGAAACCAAGGTATGTTTTCTGAATTCATTTTGGGCCACGATCATTCTGCATCCTACATCCCCACCCCCCCCACCCCCCAAACCCCAAAGCTTTCGTTAGACTTTCACAGCTAGAATAAGGGCACATACTAATGCTAATTTTCAAGTATGCATATACACCCATTTGGGGAGAATTAGGCCTCTTTTCAATTGCTGGCCAGAATTTAGCCCTATATTGGCAAATTCAGGATGCCATGAGTCAGATTTAAATTAACCACTTAAACTATGTTGTAACTGTTTTCCTATATCACCAAACAGTAGGCACACATTACTAACATAAAATCTTGATTTCACTGTACAAAATTTAGAAGACTGCATAAGCTGTTCACTGAGCTGAGTTGTGCAATGGAAGGTGACTGGACTGGACTGGTCTGTAGAGCCTGGGGCAGTTAACATCCCCACAACACTACCAAGAGCCTATGTAAAGCTGCAGCTAAAGAATATTATGGAGATTAGGTGCTACAGGAAGTACGTCCTGAAGGGGCCAGAGCAATAGCAACCTATACCCCTCTGATTGGCCCATGCTTACTATTCCATCCTGGACGGTGCCCTAGGAAGGTGTCTGAACAACCAAACAGACATCTAACTTGCTGTGGCTCTAAACCTTGCCTTGTTCTCTGACCCTGACTTCAGACTGGTAACTGATCTCTGGTCTTTGACTCTGACCTAGACTCTCGCCTCCTTATTCCAGCCTGGTAACTACTGCTGACCTCTGGTCTTTGACCTTTGCTTGACTCTGACTCTGACATTTGCCTAGTGAGCCCAGCTGTAGCAATTACACTGGTACCTGCTCACAGACTACTGCCTTGTGGCCATCCTTGACTTGGTGACACCAACACGGCAGTGACCATGAGGCCAGATGTCCTACGCTCTGGCCCCTTGCAGGTTGGGGCTGTATGGGCAGCAGGAGCGCTTCGTCTGCACATAGTCCAATCGCATAGTCCAAGCATGGGGAAAGAGCCATGCCACCTCTCCTGGGATCTTTTAAAAATAAAATAAAATAAAATTTAAAAAACACCACACACATGGTTGGAGCAGTGGGGTCGGTTCCCAAAACCTGAAGAGTAGATTGGAAGAACTCCTGATGATTTGATCATATATCAAATGGTTCCTTTATTTATTTTAGGCAAAAAATCAAGAGATTTAAGCATAGCTGTCCAAGTGATGAGGAGAATTCACATACTTCTTGAAAAACACCAGGAACTATTAAAGAAGCCACATGTACAAAAGTTGTCCAGATGTCTGAAATACCTTGGATTTGAGAATTTGGCATGCTCTTTGTCTAGCCTGGTAATTCTTATAGAATACAATTAATTTTTACAGAACATAATTAATGAAATTAAAAGTGGTACAACAAAGATTACTTTGGCACTTGTGCCCATTTCCTGACAGTTTACACCCACTGGGCCTGAACCTGGTTCAACTGAAGCCAACTTCCCAAAGTGTTACTTTACACTGCCATTTATATCATCCAAATGTTGCATTGTAACACTGTAGAACAAGAAAAGATGGTTCTAAACCTCACAGGATGATATAAAATAGAATCTCAACAAAAATTTATACAAGTTATTCAGTCCTTCATGAAATGTAGCTGATATGCAATTATTTATACAGTATGAGCTGTTGTTTTATGCTTTCTGCAGGCTCAGGGAGATATAACTGCAGCCATTTATACTTGTTTCATGTATTACTTCAGTCTGCTATTTAACAGTGAATAATACTTGTGGAATCAAATCTTTCCATAGCAGACAAATGCAAATGTATATTCAGCTTGACTTAGAGTACATGGACTTTGCTGATAACTATCAGATCCATTAAAAATGTATGGTCACATTCTCACTACATCTGCATGTAGAATTCCCATTGACTTTTATGATTTCATGCATTGCTCAAGCCAGCATTGTATGATCTTCTGTATGGGAGTGTCTGAAAATCACCTCGCCTCCTCAGCACACATCAAACTAATTTTTCAAACCTTATATAATGTTCTACAATGCAAAAGCCAGATGCCATTTTCAATTACTCTATCCCTAATTCTAAATCTGACTTGAATTTTAATTTGACCTTGTAGATAATAGAAAGTGACAATGAGAAGATAGCCAAATATACTACTGAGATGGGAGCAGCTCGTTTTCAGCTACAATATATGGGCTGTTACTTGTTCAGAGAAGAGAGGAAAGATCCAGATCCCAGAGTACAGCATTTTATACCAGATACATGGCAGGTAATGTTACATGTAAACTATTTTTAAATAGTGCTGTTAGAGATTCTGTCAAGGTTTTCTTTCAAAATTAAAAAAAGCAATGAATGAGAGTCATACAGGATAATAAACATATTTCATTTCTCTCACTGTTGTAACTTATCCTCTCATTTACCACCTTTTATCCTTTATATACTGTCTTATGCTACTTTCTGTCTTATGCTACTTTAAGCCCCAGTCCTGCATTGGGATCTGCTAGTGCTGACTCCCAAGACCATATGGTGTCCCAGAAGACAATGCAGTGATGTCCTGTGGAAGGCAGTGAAACTCTGCATGGTACAAGACTCTACAGTCACAGATCCCCATGCGAGATCAGGGCCTTAGAATCTAAACTCCTCAGGGCAGGAACCTATCATTTTTTACCTGTCTCTTAAGTATAAAGAATACCTCTGGAACTTTGTGTGCATTGGTATTAAAAATTGTAATATGATGCACTTTCATGCATAATCTGAGTTTCAATTTTAAGTTATTTATTGAAAGACAATTAGAAATGTACCAGTGACGTGCAAACTTTTTTTTGTTTTTGTTTACACAGGGTGGAGAGTAATAGTTTCAGTGCATTTAGTGTGCTATTACTTATTTACACAATAGCTGTAACAAATACACTGTAATGGGGCTGTACATTTAAATATTTCATTGGACTGTCTGGGAAACAATCCCACATTTCTTGTACACCCAAAGCTTCCAATGGGCCAAGGATAAGAAAACCTGTCAAATCTCTGGGTTTACACTGCAGAGAAACAATTTTTTGTCGGGGGAAAACTTCTACTCTATGGATAAATCCTCGTTGGATTGGCTGCCCTTCTCCATCCATCTGTCTCTAGGAAAAGAACAGTTGATCCAAGCTGCTGCATGTTCTGAAGGAACGCCTGTTCCCTCAGAAAACATAGCAAACATAGCTCTCTCTATATTATTGTAGAAAGGCTGAATCAGAAACAGCTTGCTCATTTCTCATGTTCACACCCGCAAAAATTTCACTTGCTCAAGGAGCAACATAAAACTTGGCAAATATGCTGGGAGTGGGGAAGATATTGCCAGTGCTGCCACTTCCTCCCTCCAACCTCCACCCTGGCCAACTTCTAAAGGTCACTGGTAGGGTGGGGAGAAGAATAATGAAATGCTGGGTAGTGGGAGCTGGGAAGAGCTCTGGGCTGTGTGGTTAAACAGTACTGGTATAACATAAGAAACAATGACTGCATCAGAGAAAACTGTGACTTTTTTGCTTCTAAATTATACACTGCTGAACTGACTGGTTCATATTTTGCTTTTTTTTTTAAAAAAAAAGTTCACTTTTGAACTGAAAACTTTCTTGTATCAACAATTCAAACCCAAGTGCAGTTTCCAGGCCAAATTACGGAAAAAAAATAGTTTACAATTAAAAATCAAAGTGTGATGGAAAAAATATAACACTACTGCAGCAGCAGAGAAAAATATTTTGAACTTTATAATACTGATATTAAGCATATCAATCTAGAATCTATATATATAATTAAATGTCTTGAAATAAATGACTTGTTTTATCTCCAGCGAGAGCTTCTTGATGTTGTAGACAATAATGAGTCTGCAGTGATTGTTGCTCCTACTTCATCAGGGAAAACCTATGCATCATTTTATTGCATGGAGAAAGTTCTGAAAGAGAGCAATGAAGGAGTAGTTGTATATGTTTCACCAACAAAGGTATGGCTATATATAATTACATATTTTGTATGTTGACTATAGTATTTCCCGATATGATTAAAAACAATTTTGGTGATTATTTAAATTGATTTAGATTATATATGTCTGTTTTAATTAGACATATCTACTTTAATTAAACATGTTTAGAAATATCCCACTTGATATACAGAATTTAGTTCATGTTAATATTCATACAGCACTTTGAAGGTGGAAAGCACTAAATAAGTGTGTATTATGTCAATGATGAAAGTAGCATTTGATCAGGGTATAAAAAAACATAGAAACCTAATAATTGCCTGCTGGATCAGACCCAAGGTCAATCTAGTCAAATATCCGGTCTCTGATAGTGGTAGTACCAGATGCTTCAGAGAAAGGAGCAAGAAACCCCACAATAGGCAAATGTGGGATAATCTTTTTTATTAAGGTCTTATCCTAATCCCAAATAGTTAAAAATGGTCTTAAACCATGAAGCATGGGGTTTTATATTCCTTTCAAAGCTAATTTTTAGCATTAACTATTATAAGTCTGGATATTAACACACAGAAACATTCAGTGAATATGTGATGCATCTAATACATGTGCAGTTTTTCAATACTACATGTGAAATCAAATGTTGTGCACAGTTATGATTGTTAGGAATCCAAATGCCATTTTCATTTTCAAGTAAAGAATATGTGCACACAAATTTTGCCTGCACCCTTAGAGTCTGACTTTGGAAAATTCTGGAACATACTGTAGAATGTGATATATGTTTTAAACTTTTGCAGAAAGAGGTAAAATACAGAATTAATATTAATATATACATCAGCTCACACATCAAGTTTCTTCAATATCAGTTATGAATGAAACTAAAAAATAAGGGTTGTTATAGTACTCTAAACTCTATGATCTGTTTTATGTAATAATGACTAGGCTCTTGTGAACCAAGTGATGGGAACTATATACAATCGGTTCACCAAGACATTGCCTCATGGATTAGTAGTAGGTGGAACTTTCACAAGGGATTATCGCCATGATACCCTGAACTGTCAGGTACGGTATTCTAGATGTATTACTGCATACTATATTTATTTAAATAGTGACTTTTGCACTTTTGATTGACTCCTCAGAAAGTTTATTTTTGACTATAATAATGTTGGCATAACTATATAAAGATTAGAAAAAATCTGAGTTACTTGAGCCCACGGTTCCATCCTGCCTACTAGGAACTCTCTACCTGTAGGGCACAACCTACATGTTGGCCACGAGGAGGCTTTGGCTTGATTGTATGCTGTAGTTGAGAAATACAGAAAGAAAACCAATCAAAATCCTTCAAGCATTAGCACCCAGCAGGTGCAAGATAGGGAAATGAAAGAGATTCTCTGCTCCCTTCTTTTCTCCTGCTGCTGCTGTACAACCCAACTCCAGTGCAAACTCAAACCCTCCCTTCCACATGCTCAACTCCTAACCTTCTGTATAGTGCTGAGCTCCAGATTGAGGTTCCACAAGAAAGTGTGGAGCCCACAGAAGACCGTGTGTGGAATTGAGAGAGGATGGAGAAATACAGCCCATTTAGCACCAGCACACTTTTGCTCACCTTCAGAGCCTTCAATATCTCCCACCCCTAGTGGCTCCCACGAGCACCAGCCTCCCTTCCAGTAGTCTCACCACGCTATATATCCTCACCAGTCTTCATACCCAGCGTTTTCCTATTCAGCATCCATCACCAAAATCACACTGGGGTTCTTGATATGACTCCAATCACACAACTAATGGCCTTCAAGGGTGCAAACTGTAGGATTTAGATTGATCCTGGCAAAAAAACTATGGATGGATTTGCTGTCTTGGTTCAAAAACAGCTTCAGTGGATGCCTTAAACTGAAAGTCAAGCTAAGCTATTATAGCTAAGCTAATTAAAGATCCCAAACCCCCAAACACAGTTTTCACCCTGAAAAAGGAGGAGACTCTATTAAGTCCATTAGGGACTTTGCTGTTGCTACTGATTTTATGTGGAAGGTACTCAGCTGCAGTGGTGATGGGCTGCATTATAAAACCCTAAGATATCTAGATAGGACCACATTTATTGAACATGATAGTTAAGCTATATTATTACCTTGACCATTACAGTTTTAGAACCACTGTTAGCTTTGCCATAAAGTAAACAACATCAATATTCATTATTTTCTCAACAGTGATATTTACACTGCATTGCATTTGAGGACTTATTCCTGTGCTGATGTTCTTCCACAAAAATAACACTACTTTTAAAAACACATAAAATATAATAAATAGAACTGCATTTTTTAAATTATTCCAACAGAAGTAGGCCAAAGCTTTTTTGTTATCTCTAACACATATTGGGCCCAATCCCAAAGCAGCATCCTTGTTCAGGGAAAAAGTGAAACAAGTCATAAACTACATGCAGTACATAGGGCAGGGCCGGCGCTTCCACTAGGTGACCCTAGGCAGTCGCCTAGGGCGGCAGGATGTGGGGGGTGGCATTTCGGCGGCGATTCCTCTGGGCGGGAAGAAAAGCGGCCGCGGAAACGTCACCGAGAACCAGGGCCGCCCAGAGGGGTTTCTTCCGCTCCCGGTCTTTGGCGGAAATTCGGCGGCGGGTCCTTCACTCGCTCTGGGACCCGCCGCCAAAGTGCCCCAAAGACCCGGAGTGGAAGGACCCCCGCCACTGAGAACGCTGCTTCAGAGGAGGAGCTGCCGCCAATTACTGAGGAGGAGAGCTGTCGCCTAGGGTGGCAAAAACCCTGGTGCCGCTCCTGACATAGGGACCCTGGTGCAGTGGCTACTCTAGCAAAATGTTGTGATTCTCATATACATAATAGCATCAGTGCATGGTGGATCAGGTTAAACTTAAAGTTTATTTATATTTTGCATATCTGGAGTTCAGGTAACTTTGTCATGGGATGTGGATGGTCAGGCCTAGTGGCTGGAGCCAGAGTTAGAAACCAAAGCCAGTGGTCAGAATCAGTAGGGAAGCAGGCCTAGAACAGATGGAGCAAGACAGGCACAAGTGAGATCACAGCTGTGGGCATATACATTGGACAGCCAGAGATCACTCGTTGCTGTTGAGCTTAAGAGCCGGCTTGCTGACTTGGCCAAACAGGTGGCGTAGTCAATCAAGTGTCCCTGCTGTGGGTCAGCTGTGCTCACAGGCAGCCCAGAAACTAGGCAGGTGCAGCTGCAAGTCCTCATTGCTGACACTATACATTTATAATTACCCTCCTTTTCAATTATGAAAGCTATTTTTTTTTACATTTCATTTGTCAGTAGGCTTAGAAGTAATACATCACAAACATTTCTTTTCAGATACTTGTGACAGTGCCTCAGTGTTTAGAAATCTTGTTGCTATCCCCTCATCGCCAGGATTGGGTCAAAAGAATAAGATATGTTATATTTGATGAGGTAGGTGTCTTTTAACAGGAATCAAATTAGCTAATGTATGAAATGTTTGAAAGAAGGAACCAATGACTGCATTTTTCAAAATATCTGTTATTACTGGCCAGCACCCATCTCTGGGAATATAGCTGTAAACTTCTTAATTTTCAAGACATAAATTCTTCCCTTCCATCTCGACCCTCATCATACCTCTATATTTAACTGCATAGAAATTTACCAATTTTTTTTTTTAAATTGAAATGATAAATCTCACCAAATCTGACACTGAGCATACAATTTAGGGGCAGATTCTGTATTCCTTATGCATCTAAGACTGCTAGTGAAGTCTGTGGGAGGCTTGGGTACAAAATGAATATAGTGTTGAGTCCTTCAGATCTGATCCAATACCACTGTAGTCATTAGAAGGACTCAGTGGGCGGGAGTGGGCCCTTAATGACACATGCAGCAATTTCTGAATTTTTGGCACTCATTTAGTGAAGTAAGTTATTTTTCTCATTACAATGTATTTCCATATTTTAGGCTGATTTTTTTCCCATATATATATAGGTACATTGTCTTGGTGGGGAAATTGGAGCAGAAGTTTGGGAGCACCTCCTGGTTATGATTCGATGTCCCTTTCTGGCTCTCTCTGCAACTATCAGTAATCCTGAACACCTTACTGAGTAAGCATGAACTTTTTTTTACTTATAAGAGCATGTGAATTATATACATTGGATGGGACAAAATTACCTCAGAGAGTACAGAATGAAATGTAGGTGAAAATATTCATGTTTATTTAAAAAATATCTGGTTCAGAGCTGGATTGCTACAGCTCTTACTTGGTAAGGCCCAATACCTCTGCCTGGCCCAGCTCACATTGTGACTCCAGCTGTGGTGGAGAGAGCAGAGGTTCCTCCCTGATACCCACTGCCATGAGCAGGGAGAAGATAGTGGAATGAGCTCTGGCTACACCCCACTACTTGCTTCTGCCTGGAGAAGTGCCAGAAATTGATTTTTATAGGATCTAATCATATCAGCCACACCATCAGAGGCTCGTTCACCTGCACATCTACCAATGTGATATATGCCATCATGTGCCAGCAATACCCCTCTGCCATGTACATTGGCCAAACCAGACAGTCTCTACACAAAAGAATAAATGGACACAAATCAGACGTCAAGAATTATAACATTCAAAAACCAGTCGGAGAACACTTCAACCTCCCTGGTCACTCAGTTACAGACCTAAAAGTCTCAATTCTCCAACAAAAAAACTTCAAAAATGGACTCCAACGAGAAACTGCAGAATTGGAATTAATTTGCAAATTGGACACCATTAAATTAGGCTTGAATAAAGACTGGGAGTGGATGGGTCATTACACAAAGTAAAAACTATTTCCCCATGCTGATTTTCCCCTACTGTTACTCACACCTTCTTGTCAACCATTGGAAATGAGCCATCCTGATTATCACTACAAAAGTTTTTGTGCTGATAATAGCCCACCTTAATTGATTAGTCTCATTATAGTTGGTATGGCAACACCCATTTTTTCATGTTCTCTGTGTATATATATCTTCCTACTGTATTTTCCACTGCATGCATCCGGTGAAGTGGGTTTTAGCCCACGAAAGCTTATGCCCAAATAAATTTGTTAGTCTCTAAGGTGCCACAAGTATTCCTCATTCTTTATACACAAAACGGTAATTTGTTATTATATTGATGGCCATATTTGTTGTTTTCTTGTCTACATCTAGTCATGGGTGATTCAGTTTGGCAGAAGTCAGAACTCCTTTTTCTTGCTGAACTTTCTCCCCCCAACTCCCATTACAAGAACAAAATTCAAATTCAAGGATTTTATTTATTTATTTATTTATTGTGAGGTAGCAGAAAAGTTTGGTTAAGGGAGTTGTAAAGGTTGCTTTCACAATGTTTCCACAAAATCAAGGAATGTAGCTGAGGCTCAGATTTTAAAAACATAGCCACATATTTACATATTTTGCCTTTTAACCTGTTCTAAATACACCTATTTTCTTTCAGTTCTTTTACAGAAGCTTTACCTTTACAGTAACTCCTCACTTATCGTCCTCCTGCTTAACGTTGTTTCAAAGTTACATCGCTGCTCAATTAGTGAACATGCTCGTTTAAAGTTTTGCAATGCTCCCTTACAACATCGTTTGGCTGCCTGCTCTGTCCACTGCTTGTAAGATTCTGTGGAAGAGCAGTGACTTTACAAAGGAGCATTGCACAAGTTCCTCTTCTCCGCCTCCTTCCCCTCCCTCCCAACGCTTAGGACTTTCTGGGAGGGCGGGGGAGGAGCGGCGAAGTGCTACGTCTCCACTCCTTCCCCTCCCTCCTAGAAAGTCCTAAGCATTGCCAAACAGCTGTTTGGTGGCAGGGAAGCGCTGGGAGGGAGGGGGATGAGCGGGGAAGCGCCGTGTCTCTGCTCCTCCCCTCCCTCCCAGAAAGTCCTAAGTGCCGCCAAACAGCTTAGGACTTTGGGGGTGGGGGAAGGAGCGGGGATGAGGCTGCTCTGGAGAGGAGGTGGAGTGTGGGTGGGAAGAGGTGTGCCTGGAGTGAAGCAGGGACAGGAAGAGGCAGGCCTGGAGCATCCCTAGCAAAGTCGGCGCCTGTTCTTCTCCAGGGAAGCTGCCACTGCTGCTGCAAAGGTGCCTAGAGTCCTTGCCTGCAGCGGGCTGTGCCTGTGTGGGGTAAGCCTGGGGACCTTCCCAACCACAGTACAGTACTGTACAGTATATGCCTTTTGTCTGCCCCCCAAAAATTTCCTTGGAACCTAACCCCCCTCATTTACATTAAATCTTATGGGAAAATTTGATTCATTTAACATTGTTTCACTTAAAGTTGCATTTTTCAGGAACATAACTACAACGTTAAGTGAGGAGTTACTGTATTTTGTTCTTTCACTCTAGGTGGCTACAGTCAGTAAAAAGATACTGGCAACTTGCTGAAAGTACAATAGAAGAAAGCCCTGGTTCTTCTACAACTGCCAGGAAATGTACAAGGAAGCAAAAACTACAAAAAACAAAAAAATCATATAGAGTTAGACTAGGTCTGTATCAGAATATTTTTAAATATAGAAAATATCATTTGTGGTCCCAATCCTGCAAAGATTTACACATGTACTAAAGTTTATGAACTGTGAATAGTTCTTTCAAAGTAAAAATCTTTACAGAATGGGGTCCTTAATTTTTTAAAAAAACAAGTGTAGATGCAATTCATAAATAAATTTATGCTTGTATATACAGTATTGCATGGAGAGAGATACAATGATCTGGAAAAGTATGTGTGTTCTCTCAAGGATAATGATTTTATCATTGATCACTATCACCCATGTGCTGCATTAACAGTCAGTCATGTAAGTATAATACCAGAGCCAAAATAGTTTTATCACATATTATATTAGCAATATTAACCAAAAAAATCATTCTGCTGATTCTTTTGTTGAATGTACATATAGATTGAGAACTATGGCCTTCCTTTAGACATTGCCTTCTCTCCACGAGAGAGTATCCAGCTATATGACATGATGGCAAAAGTCTGGGAAGAGTGGCCAAGATTACAGGTGTGTATACACAATGGTGCATGGATGATATTTTTTGAAAATACTGAGAGAGCAGTTTGCTATTATTTTTATTGCTGGTGTTTTCAAGGAGTTAGATCCTGAGGAATTTACCTCTTTCAAGAATAAAATAGTAATCACAAAGGCAGATGCAAAAAATTATGAACAGGAGCTGAAGAAAGAACTAATCAACTGGATTATACTTGGCCAAAGAGAGAAGGTAACTAAAAATGTCAGAAGCTTATCCCCTTCTGAAGCGTAAATAAAATATTAATATAGTACAAGTACCCCCTAAGTTATTAAAACTAACTTTTTGTGGTTTCTTTTGTTAATTGAAAGCATTTTCTATGGCTAAAGTTCCAATGGCTCCTAATATCAGTGGTGTTTCTAATGTGTTTGGGTGAGATTTTCAAAAGCACCGAAGTGAATGGGTCATATAACTGCCATTGTGAGAGCTGGAGTCCCGACTTTCTTAGATAGTTTTAAAAATCCCACTTTTTGTGTTTAATGCCTTCTCACTGGCCTTGCTTTACTTTAGTCCACTTCTTATCTTAGTGCATTCTTGAATCCCTTTGCGCAAACTATAGGTAGTGGGCATGTTTCCAGTTGAAGAAGCTTTTTTTTCTGATTAATTATATTAATTATTATTATTATTATTTGGATTACATTCACACTTAGAGGGTTGTCCTAAACACTTTACAAGCACCGAATAGAAGATCTCTATTCCTAGCAGCTCACAACCTGGGGCCTCACTCTATAAATCAGGAGCATCTCTGTTGAAATCAGTGGAGTCACACCAGTGTAAAACCTGTATAAGTGAGAAGAGAATCCAGCCTCTAATTAAGGCAAGATACCTCAGTGGATATACCATAACAAGCAGTAAGATCGGGCAGTGGATGGAGGACAAGGGAAACAACAATAAATAATATGAAAAAGCAAAATCTCTTTAAAATGTGGTATTTTCAACAAAATGTCTAATGGTACAATGATTCTTACATTTGCAATAATTCAGCATTCATACAGCAGTTTAAGGCCTCAATCTATATGTGGAATTCTTATTGAAATTAATCTGAGTTTCACAGAGTCCTCAAAGGATCCATTCATAGGCTGTATACTGCTGCCACAATTATGGGTGACCTTATAAAAACCTAAATAGATAGAAAGTTTAAACAGAAAGCTGGAGTTTTAAATTACTTTGATTTACATTCAATATTTACATTATTATTGTGCACCCTTTGATTTTTTTCAGGTCTCATCAAATTTTGTGTTTTCACACCTTTAAGACCGACCCACTAGGAATCATTGCTTTATACCATCTTTTGGGCTAATTAAATTCATGAATTTAAGTACAAATAAACTCAACACTTGCTGAAATCTGTTGTGATTACCAGAACTTGTATATGTATTTTGAATATACTGGGCCAGGTTGTGTCCTAAGCTACATCCTTGTGACCCCATTATTGCCAGTGGGATTACACTGAGCAAGTATTCCAGAATTTGGCCCTGAAGAATAATCACAACAGCCCTGTAAATATTATCCCCATTTTCAAGACGGGGAAATCATGAAAGAGGTGAAGTGAGCTGACTAATCAGTGACTGAGCCAGAATTAGAATTTAGGATTCAGTAAGTGGTAAGGGAGCAATGTACTCTAATGTAACAAGCACATGATTCAGTGTCTGGAATTTCTGACTTCCTTGAACAAAGATATTAGGAAGGATAGTTGCCTCAGATAACAAAGTTTATAGCCTGCTCCATAACATACAGTTTGCACTATAAATCAGATCACTAACACTACTTTGTCTAGGTGCATCAGCTGCTGGAGTCCCTTAAACCTCACCCTGTTGATTGTTCAGAAAATGAAAAGCGGATCAGATTTGCACATTTTGTTGAAAAACTACAAGACATGGATAAATTGCCTGCCATATTTTTTATGTAAATATACAAATTCTTTTTTTTTAATGTATATCTTTTTACAAGAGTTAAAATGATGTATATTGGAGCTAATACTGACATGGCTCAGCAAGGTATGTTTTGTAATGTGCTATTTATTTACAAGAGTCTCCTGAGATTAAGTTTTGTTTGTTAGACTGTGGTAGGTATGAATATCCATTTGCTTAAAAACATTTGAAGTAAATGCTCATATTGTAGATCACAAGCACTCTCATCCTGTTCGCTTCCATGAGGTGTTAAAAAGTCTAGCTGAACCACAATTGGAACCTTTTAAACTGTGTGCGTATGTACACACACACGCACACACACTACATAATTAAAGGCATATCAGGAAGGTGCTCAGTGCCTTGCAACATTGGAATTGTTAAGGTTCATAGCTATAAATATATAGAGAGGTATATGCACATGTATATATATTTATGGTATGTAATCCATTTTGTATTGTCAATAATGTTTTTAAATAAAAAAAAAGCTTGATTCTTTTTTTCTCCTTTGTCTCCTGAAGAAAATGGACAATGGAGTTGTTGGGTGGTATGTGTGTGTTTGCACATGTGTATACAATTTCAAACAAAAATCTAAATGAATAGATTTAAAAAAAAACATACATTTTGTTTAATTCTTTAAACAATTACAAGTATAACTGAGAGATATAAAATAATCTGAGACAAGAAATTGTCCTCAGCAATATAGGAAACTGATGGATTGCTCAGAGATAAGTCAGAGTCTATACAGAATGACAAAAGTAAAAAGGAAAATTCTGAAAAATTGAGTCAGCTAACTATATTAAGGACCTGATTCTCAGCTGCCTTGTATCTTGCATAAATACTTACATCTGTGCAAAGTAGGCATAGAACTCTACCATCCACCTACCCACTTTGCTTAGGTGTAAGATCCAATTCAGCAAAGCATTAAGCATATGCTAAACTTTTTAAGCATTTGAGTATTTCCATTGATGTCAATAGTACTATTCATATGTTTAAAGTTAAGTATGTGCTTAAGTGATTTGTTTAATAGAGATAGGGACATATTTCTAATTTATAGAATTAACTGACAGATTACAAGACCTACTTGTGACTATTACTCTAACAGTATGACATAAGTACCTTGTTTAAAAATATGTATCTCTTTAACAATCAGCATTAACTAATCTTACTACAATTTTTGTTTTAAGGTTTAACATTCATTCAGTAGAAAGAACAGCCAAGGATACATTTTATAATTTGATGAAAAAACAAAGGAGTGAACGAGATCCAAATACTGAGAAAAAATAAAAAGTTTAACAGACAAACTAAGAAAAACAAATAAAACTCTAGGGAAATGTCTGGCTGCGTAAGTATTACTATATATTTATTATTTTATTCTGTTAGTGCTCAGAGGCCTGAATCAGGATCAGGGCCTAATTGAGTTTGATGCTGTAAAAACACATAGCATGAGACAATTCGTGCTTCAACAAGTTTATATTTTTAATACCAGGAATAATAAGTGGATATAACAGACAAACAGATGAAATGGGCAAGGGAGAGATGATGGTTTCCACCATTTCCTTTGGCAGGCTACCTATATGGTATATAAAAACTTGTTATTTACATCCTTCAAATGTTAACAATATCCATCTCCCTAACTATACATAATCAATAGAACAGAGTGATTTTTGTGATGTCCAGACAACTCCTGTCTGAGGCCCCCAAATCAAAATCAAACTTTTCAAATTCAGATATGGCAGACATAACATTGTGTAATTAAATATATAGTCATAACATCAAACCCAAGAAAAGTACATGTCAGATGTGAGATCCTCAGCCCTGCTTTGGCCCCTTTGCACCATGTAAAAGGGCCAGAGCAGCATAAATGGACCATTAAAAGCTCCTTATACTGGAGCACAGAATCTCACTCCAAAACTATGGGCCAGGCATTTTGGCAGAAAAAGGGCTTTTCTTTTGATAGCTGCTTTCCAATATAGCCAGCCTTCTCCTACAACCAGAGTTTAAAGGATGGACCCCTGGAGCATGGGCTCATGTGGACTGAGGTGATGATTGTTCCATGAAGAGTGTGTTACTTCAAAGTGAATGAATCTTAAGTGTGTTTCCCTGCCTGCACTGAATGTGTCTACAGTTGAGAGCAGCTCATTCATTTCTGCTCCATTGTCTACCTAGAACTTGCTTATTTTTGTCAAACATCAAGAGCCAGATTTTTAAAGGTATTTAGGCACCTAAAGATACATATAAGTGTCTAATGGGATTTTCAAAAGTGTCTAAGTGCCATCTTTGTAACCTCTGGGAGTGTACATTGTGGGTGGGGTGGGGTGGGGTGGGGTCTGATGTCATGATGACATTTAATTTATTTCAATGGGAGTTGGGCACCTAGGTGCTTTTGAAAATCCTAGTAGATTCCTATCTTTAGGCACCTGAATACCTTTACATATCTGGCCCAACGTCACTCTTCCTTTTTCAGATTCATGACTTTAAATCTTCCAGTTCATGTTAGCATATAACTGATACAAAACCCCTGTCGTCTTTGTCTTCCCACACTACTGTAGCATTCTTTCTTTCTTCTCTTACTGTACAATAGAGTACCTATCCTTAGTTTGCAAGAATATTATACTTTCTTGGCAATATTTTCCACTTTTACATTTCTGCTTTCTTTTCAGTTTCCTCCATTTTGTATATCATTATCCTTTTTGCCCATGTAAGTCACTTTATATTCTGCCTTATACTTTAAAATGTTCTTGTTGCTTTGTATGAAGGCGATGATATAAAATTCAATTGATATATATTTAATGATTTGTGAATTTACATTAGTTTTGAGATCTTAATTTATGAGTCACTTGAAAAGGAAATGCATATTTAAAAGTTGAAAAGTCAAAAGAGTACTTTGTAAGCAATTTTAATTACAAAAAAAATACCCTTTTAAAATTGTATGTTTTATACAGTAACCTAAAAAAGGAGTCTTCCACTAAACTTGAGAGAATGATCCTTAATTTGAACAAAAAACAAGATTTAAAGAAAAGACTTGAAAAGCTTACTAAGGTCCCTCCAGACAGTACTTATGCTAATTCTAAAGCTGTGGATAAAGAAGTGAGTAATTCATTATTGATAAACATAACTTTTGCTTTTGTTTTTAAACATTTAAATATAGGATAAGTATGTGTGATATCACTGTACTTTATAATTCTGTGCTTAATCTGTCATGAAACTTGTCTAAATTGAAATCCCGGTCCTGCAAGATACAGAGCATCTCTAGAGAGATGCTGAGTGCCTTCACCTCCATTTGATAAAACCACAAATATTGTATATGTTAAATTTCAGTAAATTAGCCAATCATTCAGGTAAACAGATGATGGAGTCTCCCAGTTAGATTGTCTGTTCATAGGACCCAATTCAGGAAACCATTTAAGCACATGCTTAAACACATATTTAAATGCTTTCCGGAATCAGAGTCTTAATGCATATTTCGTTTGTGTGTGTGTGTGTGTGTTGAAATTTCTTCAAATCATGTACATCAGCCTCTAGGTATGTATACATTATTTTTTGAAGAAATACGTCCATTACAATTACATTGGATCAAAGTACAAAAAAGTCTCAGTTTACAACAAAGAAATAAATGTTTTCCTCTCAATACACTTGTACCCTTGTAAACCCGCTCCCTGAGAAAATAGAGGCCTTGCACTCCTCTGAAGTTAAAAAGTTTTTTCTAATTTCAGCCTAGATTTATTCATGGCCAATTTATTCTCATTTGTTTTTGTGCCAATATTATCCTTAGCTTAAATAGCGATTCTTCCTCCCTGGTGTTTGCCCCCCCACATTCTGAATGTATTGATAGACAGCAATTATATCCTTGCTCTCAAGAGACGAAGATCCTTTTTAAATTGTGCCAGAGGTGCATCTAGCCCTGTAATCATGACACTTTCTTAAAGCCTTCAGTACCACTTCAGTCTTATACAGGTTCAGACTTAGCCAGCTAGCTCTTATCCAAACCCCAGCCTTTGATAGATACTGGTAAGCTAATCAATATTGCACTTGAAACAGTGAAAGCTGTTTTTGAAAATATAAGCCTTTATCTTTACCATCAAGATAAGGAAATATTAACTGGTGTGCATGTTTCTTTCTTTCCTCATTCATCACTAATGGGTAATGCCTCCCACTTGTGGGATTCAGAATTGGTCTGGTGTTGATGCTGGAAGATCCAGGACTAAGCCCCACCCTTCAATTTAGGCCGCCAGATTTTCTGCCTCTGGTGGCAGAAAAAGTTGGTGGTTCAGTTTCTTCTGAGCATTTTGTTCTATAATTTTTTATTTTGTTTTTGTGCAGTGGCAGCCTCATTTCAATTTCTGTCTCCTCTTTTGTGGTGAGGCATTACCACAGTATTGAAGCACTAACCCTCTGGCTTCTCCAGTACAGCAACTTTTGAATGGGCTCCCTCTGCCTCAGCAGAAAAGCCCTGCAAGCATCTAGCCAAGTTCAAGAGATGCTGTAGGTAGCTTTTCAGGAGTCTCAGCGAGCAAACTATGTTCTGCTGCACAAGCATTGACTTTTGCTGTGCCAGGGCATGGGGCTTGAGAGGGCAAGCTATACCCTTCAGCTACAAGCTGCTGACCCTTGCACTGCTAGGGCACGGCTTTGAGTCAGACTGGTATGTAAGGATTGACTCCTGCCTAAAGCCGTGACTCCACCATGGGAGGGTCGATCAGTAGCATGGGGATTGCCACAGAGAGGAGATCCCTTCACAGTCTGCTTCAGGGTAAGTCTTGCAAACTACAGAGGCTTCAGATTACAAAACTATAAAAGTCATTGTACCCTTCATAACAATTTGTATTTTTAACGAGCTAGTGAGGTAAAAAATTGGGGTTTAAACCCTTTGGATTTTGCCTTTCCACCTTGAGGGACGTGTTCGCTAGCACCTTTCTCCTCACAGGGGCTCTTTCACATGCTGTATAAGGCATATCGCCCTTCTATCATCCTGCAGTCTGGCTGGCATGCAAAAAAGCCTATTTCTCCTGTGAAGCTCTGTCTCAGGCTGCAGTGTAATGGGGATTGTGCCTGCCTGGTTTTCAGCCCATAGCCTGTTGGTCTGCCAGGAAAAGGGGGCTAAGAGTATGACAGATGGAAAAGGGTCTTTCTTTCCACAGGCTGGCTCCACACTAAAGCGTAACAAACATTTCAGGCAGACTGTGACTAGAAGAGAGGCACAGGAGGACTCCATTCCTCACACAGCTGCACCATCATGGATTACAAGGAGGCACTTTAGACTTATTAGGCAGCCAGAGAACCTACGTTGCACCCGTAGAAAGGGACCCCTTCATCCAGATCAAGTTAGCCTGGACACCGGAAGAGAAGTGTAGTTCAGCAGGATTTCTCCATTAACCTCATCATACTTTTTGATATCCAGACAGAACTCAGCCAGAAAATTTCATTCAGCTGGTCAATTTATATTTCTAATTAATGAGAAGAGAAGCTGTGTTGCATAATGAGAAATGTCTTACATGATTCTTTTTTTTTTTTTTTTCTGTTAGCAGCTTCTCTCCTCATTCATCACACCCTGGTAGTCTGATAAATGACTGGAATACAAATTGTAACAAATTGAAATTGTTCTCTAAGGGGAGATTTAGATATTTACTTACCTGAAGGTTATTAATATATTATGTTAGGTTTTCTTAATGCTAATAATTGGTTGGTGGAGTATTGCTACAGTTTTGGAATAACACTTCTGGTAGCACGAGCTGATGGGTGGGCTTGAGGACTCCAGCGACAACGTTGGACCACCTCTGAATTCCACAGGTGGCCTGTATTACCTATTAGTGAGGAATGGGGAGAGAAGTTGCTCACAGAAAAAAATAATCAGGTAAGAATTTTCTTACTTTGTTTTACAACACTTAAATGACTGTGATTAATACTTAACATTTCTTTACAAGTAGACCTTGATGGAGATCTTTCATCGAATTAGGTTTCAAAGGAAGAGTTTCCTGCTGAGAATGTTGGCACAGAAGGGTATTGGATATCATCATGCTTCAATGTCATACAAAGAAAGACAAGTCGTGGAGATGCTTTTCAGGATGGGATATATCCGGGTTGGTAAATTATAATCATTTTTATGGACAATTGCTTTTTAAGGAATAATTTAATAATTTCTCATTATATTTAATTAAATCACAGCTTGACTCTCACCCATATAATTCACATATAAACTTATTTTCATTGACTGTGGTAAAATATATTGCACTTGGTTTACCAGCATTAATTTTTAATATATTGACAGGAGAGTTTCTAAATTAGAAACAAAATATCTAAAAATTCTAAAAGCAATCAGTTGACTGGTCCAGGACTAAATGTTACCATCTTCAAGATTAGGGCACCGAATCAGAAAATTTTAGTAGATCTCTGCACACAAAAAGAATAAGTAAACTGATTCTAGATCTGCCTTTTGATTTTTATAAGACTGTATGGTTATGGGTGTACTGATTCCAAAGCCCATTTCCACAACATTGTATCAATACAGTACCTCCATATCACAGCGTCTGTATTTATTAATTACCAGTGAAAGTTTCTCTAAAATTAAATGTGATTATATTTAGGGAAATGAACTATGTAATGGCATGTTTGGAAGCACTAATGAGATAATGTTAAAACTTAATGTATGTACTTTGCATCAAATGTAGATCATGGTTTCTCACGCTGTTGAATTATTTCCAACTGTGCTGCTACTTTGCTTTATCATTACTGAATTAGAAGCAGATTTCCCAGGGTGCAGTTATTGTATGCTTAAAATTATCACTTTTTAAAATAATTTTATATTAAAAGTTACATAAATATTTTATTTGCACAGTTTTAAAAAAGATAAACGAAGAAAAGTTAAAGTTATATTCTAATTCTGTTAAATCTATTTGGGTGAAATCCTGGTTCCACTGAAGTTAATGGTAAAATTCCCAATGACTTCAGTGGGCCAGGATTGCAAACATTATTTTAAATATATGGTAATAAACCAATGTTTCAAAATAAAAAAATTAAATAAGCAAATGAAATTAAAAATTGCTTCTTGCTGCTAATAAATGCACTTATGTTTGACTTTTTTCCTAGGTGGTTACAGCTACTGGATCACTTGCTTTGGGAATCAATATGCCATGTAAATCTGTTGTCTTTACTGAAGATTCTGTCTATTTAGATGCTCTGAATTATAGACAGGTATTGAAATACAGCAAGTCTCATTTATATTGAATATATATACAGACATACTTTTCCTCACAACTTTCCCCAGAAAATACTTTCTTTTTCAAATTGCTTCTGCCTATTCTGAATCATATCTGCTGCCTTTAATGCCAAAAATGAGTTTTTACTGCTTGGTACTTTTGTTAGCACTACAGAGTTGACGCTGCTCAGAGATTGAGCTGGATTGTATTCTTTCTTGTGTATTATCAACAGAGCTATTTACTAAATTAGTCAGTTACACCTGTGCAATCCCATTGCAGGAAATGCAGTTGCACAAGTGAAACTGAAGACCTAATTTGAAAACAAAGGGGTGTACAGGTGTAAATTAAAGTAGACTTCGGCCTGTAGAACCTTTTATTAAGGTAGTGATGTGAGAGAAGGAAAGAATCCAGCCTGATGTTTAGAGTCCAGGGTGAGTTTGAAAGACTTAAATTAAAAAAAACCCAGCCCACCTCTTTACTTGTAAACTAACTATATTTGATGTAGAATGTATTTAGAGATGCTAAATGAGGAACACCATGGCACCATTTTTACAGATGCACCACACCATAAGTTTGTGAGGTACACTGGGATCCTTTGACAAGAAAGATACAAATTGTATCATTTTCGCTGTTTAGTGAATATAAGGAGAAAATACTTACACTACTGTGTATAATTATAGCTGGGGTGATAAGGAAACCAGTATTACCTAAGGGCATAGTAACTGGTTATATTGCTTCCTAAGATCTGCTTAAAAAAATTGTGTGTTGCATACGTTATTTTTCAAACTAGTATCATTAGTGTAAATGCTTTTGTACCCTAGTATACTATGGAGAGGAGCACCATATACAATTTAAATAAAGAGAACAGAACAGAATTTTTGTGAAATAATAATCTTTAGAATTTATAAATAACCCTTTAGATGTCTGGACGTGCTGGAAGACGTGGACAAGATATGATAGGAAGTGTGTTCTTCTATGATATCCCACTGCCTAAGGTCGAAAAACTTATAAAATCCAATGTACCCCAACTGAAAGGCCAGTTCCCTCTGAGTATTTCCCTGGTACTGAGACTCATGCTATTGGCTGCAAAAGCAGATGACAAAGCAGATGCCAGAGCAAAGGTATATTAATTTATTTTAAAAACATCTTTTAATTTTATTATATTTATATATTCTCTCTAACTCAAGTACAAAGTATGCATTTCAAATGTAAACAGTCTGACACCAAATAAAGTGTATATTTTTCTACTAGAGCTTCTTAGGGTACATCTCTACTGCAGAAAAAAACCTGTGGAAGCAAGTCTCAGAACCTGGGTCAACTGACTTGGGCTTGTGCTACTGAGTTTAAAAATAGCAGTGTAGACATTCCTGCTCAGGCTGGAGCTCGAGGTCTGAGACTCAGCTAGTGGGCTGGGTAACAGAATTCAAGATCCAGCTTGAGGGGGAACATCAGCACTGCTATTTTTAGCTCCACAATGCAAGCCCTGGGGGCCAGAGTCTGTTAACCTGGGCTCTGAGACTCACTACTGTGTAGGGTTTTTTTTTTTTTTTCATTTTGCATTGTAGCCATACCTTAAAAGTCTCATGTGCTATAAGGACACCAAATCTCACTGATAAGAGAGAAGATGCTGCCAACAAGATGGCTACAAAATTTAGTCTTTCAAGAAGCACAAGATAGCTACTTGTAGAAAGGTGTTTTAGTGTTAAAATATTAGTTTCGCTTATAGAAGTCACTGTTTTGATTTTGTTTTTCACTTCCTCTGTTGGTGTCTCCTCTTTATCTCTTTCTACTGGTTCTATTTTCTCCTCTTTTCTCTCCCTTCACCTTTTGATAACCGTAGCATCAGGGGTCCCAGTCAGGATTATGGCTATAATGTGCTAAGTAAGAGACTGCCACAGCGTGTTTTTAGTTTAAATAGAGAAGCCAGACAAAAGGGGTGAGAAAGAAAACATAAAGAAAGAAAAACATACAGACTTAATCAGTGTTGGTTGGAAAACATCATATTCAACATTTTTATTTTGTGTTATATTTTTCATGTCTTATGGAGCAGATGTAGGATAAGGGAGGAAGGCAGATAGAAAAGAGGCAACAAGAAAGACAAAGGAGGGCACAGCGGTCAATGAGGGAAGAGTAATAAAGAGGATGGGGAAGACCAAGGATGGTTGACAGAGCAAAACTGGCAGGGATTGTGAGGGGAAAGAATGAAGATGTCAGAGCAAAAAGCCAACAAGCAAAGAAGAAAAATGCCCAGAATCTAACCTACAGAAGGAATGCTTCTGGCCTCCTGCTGGGGTACATCTTAAGGCTTGTCTACAATACCGCGTGGGGTTGATCTAAGATATGCAACTTCAGCTACGTGAAGAGCATAGCTGAAGTCAACGTACTTAGATCTACTTACCGCGGTGTCTTCACTGTGGTAAGTTGACAGCTGACGCTCTCCCATCAACTCTGCTTGCATTTCTCGTCTGGTGGAGTCGACGGGAGAGTGCTCAGCAGTCGATTTATCGCATCTATACTAGACGCGATAAATCGACTCCCCGCTGGATCGATTGTTGCCTGCCGATCTGGTGGGTAGTGTAGACAAGCCCTTTGAGCAGTGACTCTCAGCCTTTCCAGATTACTGTACCCCTGTCAGGAGTCTGATTTGTCTTGCATACCCACAAGTTCCACCTCACTTAAAAACTGCTTGCTTACAAAATCAGACATAAAAATACAAAAGTGTCACAGCACATTATTACTGAAAATTGCTTACTTTCTCATTTTTACCATATAATTATAAAGTAAATCAATTTATATATAAATATTGTACTTATGTTTCAGTGAATAGTATATAGAGTAGTATAAACAAGTCATTGTCTATATGAAATTCTAGTTTGTACTGACTTCACTAGCGCTTTTTATGTAGCCTGTTGTAAAAGTAGGCAAATATCTAGATGAGTTGATGTACTCCGTGGAAGACTTTTGCATACCCCCAGGGGTATGCGTACCCCTGGTTGAGGATCACTGTCTTAGAGCTTCTGGGAATGGATTTTCCTCTGGGAGTTTGCTCTGCCTCCCCTGAACTCTTGGCTGGTGAATGCTACATGGAGCTTGGTGTGTGTCCATTCTGTCTACTTTTCCATATTGTTCATGTTAATTATACATAGAGAATCAGAAGATCCTGTGGGATCCAGGATTTCAATTAAAAGTGAGGAAAATGAGTAAAAGGGGATGAGGGTGGGAAATAACTGAACATAAATCTGGTCTCGGAGGAAAAATAAAAGGCCTAAAATAGAAGGAAAATAAAGCACTAATTTAAATTCATTTACAGGAAAATCTGGATTAACTACTTAAGCATATTTACTTTATTATTTTATTAAAATACTGAACATAGCCCTTAGCAGTGTGTGTAATATGTTCAATATTAAAACAATGCACATTTTAGTTTAAATATTCAAATACATATTAATGCCCTGATCCTGCAAAGATTTAGGCATATGCTTAACCCATTGCATAAAGTTAAGCACAAGCCTAAATCTTTGCAGGATCAGGTCATAGGGATGGTATTTTCAAAAGCACCTGAAAGAGTTAGGTACCCAACTCCCAATTAAAGTTAAAAATAATCTATAGGAGTTGGGTCCTAGTTTCTTTGTTTGTTTGGAACATTAAAACATTGCAATTCCTAAATTTGTCTCTCTTTTTACTCAGGTGCTGTCAGTGTTGAAGCACTCACTGCTGTCCTTCAAACAAAAACAGAATACTGAAATGTTAAAAGTATACTTTATCTTTTCCTTGCAGTTTCTTGTCAAAGAGGTAAATTTTAATTCTGTTAGGTTAAGAGCATATATCCAGCATTGCACTCTTATATATATTTTTTCAAACATTACTGGAAACAAAGCCAGAAATCTTACAAACTGTATTGTTTCTTTCATATAATTATTGTACCACTCATCTTACGTTATATAGCACCATTCAGGCATTAGTTAGTTTCTTAACTAGGTGAAGAAAACCAGATAAAGAAAGAGACATTTAGCCCAATTTTTAAAATACAACCAGTGTTCCAATCCTACATTTAATTGAAGACTGTTCATTTTTTGTGATGCAAAGACAATAGAGAGAGTGCTAATCCTGCTGCGTGTATAAGTATGATCAAGGATGGCACACAGGGCAAAATATGAACTGAGGTATCCATCCATATGATATTTTAAGATGCATATACATAAAATGCATTGGAGGACAGAATTTTCCCAAAGACAGCATGTTAATAATTGTGCTTCTATCAAGCCCCAGTTCACGAGACTTCACAATGTCAAGCACTTTGTATCTTGCACACTTGAACTAACTTAACATATTTTATTAACTAGGGCTACTTGGATCAAGAAGGTAACGCTATGGGATTTACTGGACTTGTGACCCATTTATATTATCATGAACCTTCAAATTTTATCCTAGTTAGCTTTCTTGTGAAAGGTTTATTTCACAAACTGTGCCAGCCAGTTGAGAATGGTAAGTTAATATTTCATACTTTTTAATTAATGTAACTGCATTTTTGTGAATGACTGTCTAAATCATGCTCGTATTTTATTATGTGCTCTAAAGTTAATGATCTGTAATTATCTTAGACAATTACAAAACAAATGTGACATGTACTTCCTTCCATATAATGTTAATAGAACCTTTCTATTGTTATATGTTCACTAAGTTTCAAGTCTAAAGCATTTGCAGCTCCCACTCTAGACAGGTAAATATAAGTTGTTTTCAAATTTAGTAATTGGTGATGTGTAAAAAAAAAAAAAATTAAGAAGATATCATGTAAAACTTCATTGTAACTATGGAGTTACAGCAGACACACTATAGTTAAGGCTGCAACTGGGTTTCATTATAAGGTCCATTTTGAATCCCTATTCAATAGACCTCTATTGCTGAAGTCCCTTATATCACCCCAGTCAAAAATGAAAATGTATTAAGATTTTTTTTAAACCCAGTTTGTCTTTGATTCACCCTGTTGTTCTATACTGAAGCTGTCATGTGTATCATCTGTGCCGAAACATACAGACAAAAACAGAGGTGAGTGAAGAAAAAGTAAAGGCCTTCATCCTGCAAACATGGATGGGGCCTTAGAATTTTTACACAAACTTCTAGTTTCCATTGATTTTCAGTCCATATTACAATATGGTTCTGGTACGTAATTAATATGGGAAGTAGGTAGATGTTTAACATTTTCAAACTGTAGATTTGTTTAGTTTAAACGATGCCTTCATCTTAAAAATGACCGATTTGTCTGAATGTTTGTCTACTGTTACAAGTAATGACAAAGCTTATCAAAGTTGAAAGAGTTTAGAGGAAAAAAACTTTTTGCTTTCAGTGTGTTATTGCATTTGACAGCACTTTTTGTATACTCAGTTTCACTAATTCTCCTGTATTACAGGTGAGGTTGGTAGCACCACCTATTATTAAGTTTGCCAAACACACCACAGTCATACTTTTGCCAAATGATAACCATTTGGGCTGACATTTTTCATGATGAGGCCTGCCTCTGTCTGAACAGGTTTGGAAAATTTCAGCCAAAGTGGTCAGCTGTTTCCAAGAATTAGGCTGGGAAAATATTCATTGTTTTGCTCATGTTAAAACATTCTGGCAACCTTTTTCTTTGAAATGCTCTAGCACTCCCATGCTTTGGAGCAGGGACTTGAAATCTGGCGGAGGGTGGTCTTTGTGTCATGGATGTGCATTTTGGTGGCATCATGAAAATCAGTCCAAATTTGGCTATGGTATAAGTCTTTGAAAAATTGTGGTTTGCATATGCTCGGTAGAAACGTGCTAGACCTTAACAGCTAAAATCTCAGAACAATCTGTTCGCACTGAGCATGCTCCCGTCCAGAGTTGCAGGGGGCTAAGCAGGACTTTTCCTGCAATTGAAACTCTGGGCTCCTGCAGTCTGTGTGAGGTCAGGACACCTGAACTGAGAGGTGAATGGGAGTGGGAAAGAGAAAGGACTGGGACAGATTGGCGGGGACAGAGTAGAAGGGAGTCAAAGTGTAGAAAAGCCTGTGCCCACTAGAGCACATTCCTTTCTAGAGCCTGCAATGGACCCCCAGATTCCTGAGTCTCACCATTCCTCTGCTGTCAGCAAATTGTGTGAAACCCACAAAGTGTGTGCATCATACTCCTCTAGTGCTGGTCCACAGAGAGAATGGCAGCCTACTATTGCTCTGTTATTCAGGTAGCTCAAGTAACAATGAGAGCTGTGCTTGAATATATGAAATGCTATATAATGCTAAATAATCTGAAAAATCTGGACCTAGTCTTCTCAAACTGACACCCCAAATTAGTGGATACTTTTGACCCTATTCTTTTTGCCTCAGTTCCCCATATGTATAAAAGGAATAATACCACCCCCTCATCTCACTGGGGTTTTGTGAAAATAAATGAATGTTTGCCTTCCTCTGCAGCACGGAGCATGGGCACTTGCTGGTTTAAATGAGAGTAAATGATGGATTCTCTGTAACTTGAAGACTTTAAATCATGATGTGAGGACTTCAGTAACTCAGCCTAAGGTTATGGATCTATTACAGAAGGGGGTGGGTGAGGTTCTGTGGCCTGCAATGTGCAGAAGGTCAGACTAGATGATCATAATGGTCCCTTGATCTTAGTTTATGAGTATATAAGGGGGTGAATTAAGGTTGCACAGACAACTTTAAATCTAGCCTTTTCTAATTTTTGAGTACTTAACTTTGCAACCTTAATGTTCTGCTTAATGTAGCTTTTTTGTATGTAATAGTAAATGAGTTGGTCAGTTTCCTTTGTTATTTGTGTGGGTAGTTCACACGGCAACATGAAGAGAAAAACAATTTTTAAAAACAGGAAAAGTGTCTGTAAAAATTATCACAATTGGTAGAGAAACTCATGGACCGGTATAGAACAGGAAAATACATTGAATTAATTTTTAAAATAACTAGACTTCAAGCTGGAAGTGTGTGTTTTAAAGGTTGAAGAGAATTTTCTTATTTTGCATATTTATTGTACTTTCTGTCTGAAATAGGCTCGACTGTTTTTTCTGAAGATGTGATGGAAAAATTAGTGCTAGTGCTAGCAAACTTATTTGGAAGGAGATATCTACCAGCCTGTGCTACGAAATTTAGAAGAACATTTTGCCAGTCAAAGGTAAAGGGAAAAAAATTTAATTTAATTAACTAATAATTTATTATTTGCATTGTGATAATGCTTAGAAGCCCCAATTAGGGATCATGGTCCATTATTCTAAAGACTGTACATACATATAGTGAAAAGACAATTCGTTTTTGAAAGATCTAATGACTAAGGACTATAAAGCAGTAGTAATTAACCAAAAAAGGGCCAGTGGGTCCTGGCTTATGTGAATAATATCAAACTATCCAAGCATTCTTTCAGAGATGACACAGTTGCTTACACAGTTCTTGTCATGCTGGTATTTTTTCTTTTAAGTGTGTTGATTAAATCGTTCTTTACTAAAAATTCCAAACACTGTTCATGTATATCTTTCCCCACATTCTAATTTTGACCTCCAGTCTAAAGTGCTATCATCTGTGAAATTTAAAAATTGACTAGCAGAGCATTGGCTATAGAGGTTTTAACCTTTTCTTTGGTACACCTAGATCCAAACTTAGGGTCAAACCTTTTAGAAGTGTGATAAGATGGGCAATAACAATGATTATGCCTGGGGGGAGGGCAGAAGAGGGGAGCCTATATAGAATGTAGTCACTGGTACTCTTCCACACAAACAATATGTATTTGGGACGCCAAGTGATTTTGGATTAAACCAGCTGGGGATGGGATAAAAGGACAGAACTGGAGAGCAGCAAGTGTATGTGGAGCTACTCCTCTAGCCAATTTTTTAATATCCAAGCTGGAAAAGAACATTTTTAATTTTCAGTTTATAGCTTCTAACCTCATAGGAGATGTTATTGGACAGCTGTGACCAGTGGCAGCAAAGTAGCAGATGCATTCATGTTGTTAGGGTGCCTGTGGAAGGTCAGGCACTGAGATGTGCAGGGCTGGCATAGGGATTTCCTGTGGGTTCTTGAGCTATGTGCAGTCACCCCATTTGCACCAGCAGGAATCCCTCATATCAAATTGAATTATATGTTGAGCTCTCTCTGAGTAGAAGCTCAGGAAATTCCAGACATTGTTGCTTGAAAGCCATATTCAGCTTTAAGTTTTGTTCGTTGTAGACCAACTCTAGCTGTCTAAAGTTGGGCATTTTGAAGATTTGGGCCAAGGTATTTGGCACTATAGTCTTTCCAGTGTGTGCTTGTAATCTTCACAAATGTTGTGTGTATGCATCAAGGTAGGACTAATGCTCCTCAGATACACAGAAATAGTTTACCTAAATAATTTAATAAGCTATATGTTATTTCAGGTGTTTCTAGAAGATCTCCCAGAAGAGTTTGCTGCTGCTGTTCATGAATACAACTGCAAAATAAAGAAGAATTTTGGTTGTTTTCTTCTAACAGTTGCCAAGCTGGCTGACATGGAACAAGAATACCAACTTCCTTTATCAAGGATAGGTAGGCACTGGGAACACATATGCTTATTAATGTGGATCCAAGCTATATTGTGAATGACTGATAGTTTTGATAATGGGGACATAGGTGAGTGAAATGTTATGCAACTAAAGGCTAGTGAATTCAGCCAAGCTAATATAGAGATATAAATTGCATTGCTTCTTTCATTCTACAGTAGGTACTGTAGTTGTAGATTATATTGAGATATTGGAGGTGTTATGGGGTGCAGGGACGTGGCACATGGGTTAGCTGCTATCCTTTCAGGATTCAGGGAGTAAGAATTAAATCAAAGGTACTCCTTTATGAAAGGCAAATTGGGGTTCTGGCACTTTTTTCCTTGTCTTGTGCTGAAAAGAGCTAAAGAGGCAATTATCTGTCAGCTCAAAAATCCAGTCAGAACTTCTGAGGCATGTTATGATACAATAATTGTTTTCAGGGTGTACTACAAAAGTTAATCCTCACATCGTCGTAATGAAATAGATAGGTAACCCATTATAGATGAGCATTGTATCAGGAGTAAAACAATTGAATTCCTCATAAGCCAATAAGCAAGCTTTGGCAATCAGAAAGCAATATGAAAAGACATCATCATAAGATTACAAAGCACTAGATTTTCACCTAGTCAAATTGCTTGACTGGCATATTATATTATCATATGGCTTCCTGGAAAGAAAGATGCGAGGTGGACTAATTAAATGTTGCCTTGTTTGACAAGGATGGATATTTTACCTTATAACCCTCCCAAAAAATTTAGTATTTTAGGGTGTTGCCTAACCCTTTTTAAAGATTAATATTTGTATTAATTTTCAATTGATCAGAAGGTTCTGGTACAAGAATCAGGCTACACAGAACTAAAACCAATGAGTTCAATATCTTGCAGGAACCCTCAGGGTGTATGGCCAGGACCCTCCATGCCAAATAGAAAGATAGGAGTAATACAGTATTGGGGATATCTGTGGTATCATTCTTTGCATAGTCTCTTAGTTTTGCATACTTACACTGTTCCTTGAGGAGCTGGTGGTAAGAGACAAAGTACCAGCCCTGTCTCTGGCATGCCAAATGAGTCAGGTGGTCCAGGTTCCTCAATGCCCCAGATTGATGGTAGAGCTGAAGAGTCAAATGATCGAAAAAACTAATAATGATGGAGAAGCCAAGCTAACTGTACTTGGTGGTTTGCCCTCTTATAGGGCCTGAGCACCATCATGAATATTCAGGATAGTGCTCAACCTTCCATGCCCAAATCTAACTTCCTCACCCACATAATACTGAGGTGTACTTATTCTATAAGTTAACATATTAATACATATGAATGTCATTTAGCTCATTATCCATTGTGTTGCTTCTTGCTTAAACTGGTTTACAGTTATTACTTCCAATTCTTATGGTGTTCCTGCAGTTGCCATTTACCATTAAGTTCCAACTACGACCATTACGTAAGCTATCTTTAGTTCTCCAAAGAGTAACTGTTAAACCATTTATCTCTGCCAAATGTCACATGCCTACTATACTTATGTTAACTTGCTTAAGCTAATGTCTTACAGGATATAGGCCTGTAGGTTCCTTGCATTAAAGCTGAATATAATAAAGGCTAAGATAGCCCTATGGGGTACAAGTGGAGATATTTTTTTAGATGAGGCAGCACATGAATTGTAGATTAAACTGTATTCATTCTATATGTCTAATCCCTTTTCACATTAGTGTAATGGTTCTCAGCTTCTTTTGATCTATAACAAACAAGATGGTCAACAAAATCATCCTACAGCCCATCATATCCCATGATATGGGTACAAAGGTGTGACTGGGTGCCTACATGGGCCACATTGAGGATGCTATACTCAGGGAAGACTGCAAAGAATAGGGCAGACAATCCCCAAAACTGGTGGTTTATTCTATAGTTAGATTCACCAAGCCAATAAGAAAACAGCTTCTGTAATACCACACTGGTTACCAAGAAGCCAAATACAGTCCCTTTTAAGCATTCCAGCCCTCAATGCCCCCTCCCCCATCCCCTCTAGACAGCGAAGTCTAATTTAGTGAGAGGTTATAGAAAATCTGATTCACCATATGTGAGGTTCATCAATCCCAAGGGACTGGACACTGATCCCCAGGTTAATATGAGTCTCAGATCTTGCCCAATAATCACTCAGATGCCAGTAATTAAAACTAAAGGTTTTAATAATAAAAGGAAAAAGAAGGAAAAGTGTTGCAGTGGTTAAGAGATCAGTATATGTACAGAGATGTGAAAAGTCCTCATGTTAGTTTCATAGCATAGATGCTGAGGCTGGTGACTTGTAAAAGTCTGTCTGGAATCAATTAAAAAAGTTATAATGCAATAGGTAGTCCAGGTGTAGAGTTTGTTCAAATTCTTCCATGAGCATTCCTGGGTAAATCCAGAATAAACCTGAAGACCTTAGTGTTGTGGCTTAGACCTTCTCTGTTAAAGTTGAAGCAGACCTGAGATAAAAAGGATCAGTCCCGAAGTTTTCTTTATAGTTCTCTACAAGCTGATAAGCCTCTTGACAGCAATTGTCACAGCAGGACCTTCCCCGAATGAAGAATAGCAGTGCATATTGTTGCTTTGAAGCTAAACTTCTATTTCCTGTGCTTACACAGGTAGATTAGTTTCATTCATTAACATAGGGCAATTAGCCATTCAAACTATCAAGACAGTTCATTATAGCATAGATAATTAAACTGAAAATAATGTAAATAATAATTTTAGTTCCTGCAGTATCTTATATCTTTAATTTTAAGGTTAACTGAATCATCTGCATATATAATATAGGGCCATTAAGACATGAAAAGGAATTAGCATCTACAAGCTGATCTTATTACATTTGTTAAACGTCTAACAAGCTATAGGTAAATACAGACAAATACACTTCACATCTACCCTTGATTTCTATTCCTACAAATAAATGGGTTTATGAGTGCTGGTCTGGGACATATCTTTGAAATCCATATACAAGTAGATTGTCTTGGTTACATTTCAGTGACTCTTGTTTAATTGTTATGGGTCATATCCAAGTTGAGCAGTCTGTTAGTGTCACAGAAGGATAGGCTTTTTTCAGCCATTTTGTGGATTGCAGACCAAAAAAGATGTGGGTGGGGCTTCTGGGAGAGTGTGCTGATGCTTTTGAGGAAGGGGAGAGGAGAAGAGAAGAGAATGGTGTTTCTGAGTTGGGAGAGTCATCTAGGTGAGGGGGACTTGTGGTCTTGATGTGAGAGCCTGTAAGGGGAGGGAGCTGATACTGCTGGCCAGGGCTCAAATTGGGAAGAAAAAAATAGTAGGTACTCTTCCAGGTTCCACCTACAAACCACTCTTACTATCTGAGATGTTCAAGTGAGAGGTCACTCACAATACACTGGGCTAATGTTTAAAATGTGATCACATGCTTTGATAGGCTCCTACTGTTGCCTCAGCTTTGCCTCCTTCTCAGCAGGATTCCAACACAGCTCTGGGCAGGGCAAGTTTAAGGCAAATACATAATGCCCACATCCCTTGGGCCTAGCTGTCAGTCATGTGTTGACATCAGAATCTCAGCTTTCTTTTAAAGAAAAAGGGTCTAGCCCCAATGATGGGAAAGATAAGGCTGAAAATGTGACCCAAATGTCATTGATCCAGTGATGACTGCCTGGTTCTGCAGACAGTTTCCCACAGAGGGATGACAAGCAGCCACTAGAGCTGGGAGAAAGCTGCCTGGCCTCACCACCATCATCAGGTCTATGCTCCTCTGGATGGATAGCAGGATCACAACAGACTTCCAGTGTGAGCGGGTCACAGACTTAAGAAAGAGGCAGAGCAGGGAGAAGATGGCGGCGGCAGCAGCAGGAACCACCATACAACTCTAGATGGGCTGCTCCTTCCTTTCCATCTAGGCTCCTGCTGATTCCTAACAACCATGGAACGTTGCAGCTCTCAGGCAGTTGGGTGCGACCCACTGAGCCTTCCAAAGTCCAGTTATGAAGTGCAGCATTAGTGTTATATCTGCAACCAGGATGTGACATACCAGTTTTGTCATGTTCATATTGTAATTATTTATTTTAATAATTAAGGAACTGCTTTGCACTGTGGGAGAAATCCAAATACTGATTTATTAATTGGCAAATATTTATTTAGGGCACAAGTAATTGTAAATTAGAGGGGGGTCGTGTAAATGAAGCTTGGACTGGTTTGTGTGTACAACAAAACACACAGAGAAAATTGTGGCTTTATAAGACAGCCTCTTTCATAATACACTGGGCATTTACATTAAGGATTATTTTTGATGTGCAAGGAATGCAGGATCACACCCATGGATTAGTGCTTAAGTGCCACCCTCTGTAGGTTTCATTTCTCCAGTCCACCCCCCCCCCCCTTGTTGCTGATCCTCTCCTCCCTTTTTGCTGTTGCTGTCCTCTTCCTGACACTTGTAGTTGATACCTTCCCCAGGCTTCTCTTTAATCATCTCAGGAACAGCTGTTCCTTGGCACCCCGTTTTTGCTAGAGGAACTGCAATCATATCTCTTTAAAGGTATTTCAGTGAGCCCATAGTACAACCATTTTCTCAATATTTCAGTGTGTTTAATGTCCACTATTATTTTGACCCTAGTTTAAAGGGTTTTTTTAAGGTAGCAGGAAAAAAGATTTAAGTGGAGGTGGTTAATTTTAGTTTAAAAAAAATCAACCATATGGTAAGTCTTAATCAGTTTTAGCAAGACACAGGATACCTTAAGTTTAATTTTTGAAACATTAGGGAGATTTATACTTTGCACACAACTCCACCCTCATTGAGATATTAATGAAAAAAATTAACTGCTTTTAAAATGCACTGATTATTAAAGGGCACTTGAGCATGTGAAGATTTTATTACATTCACATTTTAAAATTTGTTCTTATTAGATTTTACACATAAAGAATGTGATAACTCTGAACTGACATCTCATTTGATGAATAGCACCAAAAGCATAGCTTCTGTGTCACCCTTCACATGCCTGTCTGGAACCATTGACCAGGATTTATTTGATGCTGAGAATGTTAATGAAGTAAGTTTAGTTTTTTTTTTTTTTTTTGTTAGAGGGCCTCAAAATCAGAAGGGGATGGATCACTTGATGATTACCTGTTCTGTTCATTCCCTCAAGCACCTGACATTGGCCACTGTTGGAAGACAGGATACTTGGCTCAATAGACCTTTAGTCTGATGCAGTATGGCCGTTCTTATGTTCTGCATCTGAATTTCATTTTGGGGGAGGGGGAATTCTTAACTCTTCTGTGGCCCCTTTGCACCAATTATGAAGCAGACAAAGACTCTTAGTGAAGACCTCCAGTAAAGAGGGTGTTACAGAGTAAGTTGGGGGTGGAAAGAGGCATTAGCTGGGGGTATTCTTGCATAAGCTATGAAGCTTATAGGCTATGGCAGTCACGGTGTAAATTAGGTCTACTGTCACAGCAACCCTACCCAATCCCAACATATAGGAAGTGCAAGCTGTCTCCCTTTAGTATGCAGCCCACTGCAAAGACCATCCCAGGGCTACATCAGGACCCCTATTTCTATAATAGACTAAAGTAAATCCCCACCTCCTAACGCTCCTGAAATGGGTAGCATGAAATACAAGTCCAACACCAAACTGTTCCAAACTCAAACACCTTGAAACATGGAATTCATATTCAGCCCATTTCAGACAGATCTGAACACATTCTCTGTATGTGGGTCAAAAGCCACCCCAAATTCAGAAACATATCATGGATAAGGTAGTGCTGAATGTTGAGGAAGCAGTCTGGGGCAGACCAGAGTCACGCTGCCATGTAAGCTACTGCAACAACACAGGGCCTTTGTGGCCATCTATAAAGCTCAGAAGATCTATCAATTACAGGCCAAACCTCCAGCTACTTCAACATAGAAAATGAAAATTGAAACTCTGCAAGTACAAAGGGTCTGCTACATCAACCCACAGACAACATGATCCTAAATTTTCAGAGTGGCATGGATTATAGCCATGCAAATCCTTTTAGCAATAGGTCTAAAATCCTAGATTGCATACAGTAATTAGTGACACACCAAAAGTATAAAAATACAAACATTTGAAAAACAATTGATGTGTTGTATTTTCTCAGGCTGTCTTGCGTACAATTGGTGTTAATGTCAGAAATGCTCCTCTGTGTTGGTTGGAGAAATATGATAATCAAGGAAGAAGAATGCCACTGAATGCTTATGCCCTTGACTTTTTTAAACATGGCTCCTTGATTGCACTGACAACAGATAATTGGTACGTTCTTCTTGTTTAATTTGAATATTTTGCTGCACAGTCGTAATGGCTGAATATCTATTGGGATATAAGTTAACTGCCTGCAATTGCACACCCACAAAATATAGGACAGGATCCCTTGTCATAATTATCCAGTAGCATAGAATTTTTCCTTATTAAAAGATTAGGTTTCTGGTATTTATAGTTACAAACTTCCAAATGTGAACAGTGTGACTTGCTGAGTCTGCAGACAATGTCAGCAGCGTGAACAGCCCTCTTCATTTAAGAAGCATTTTAGCTGTAAAACCTAAAAAGGCAATTTAAATGTCAACTCCCAATGACAACTTCAATTCCAATCATTGTAGCTAATGTACTTAGCCTACAAATGCACACCACCTCCCAGTGTGACCAAGCACCAAATGCTCCTACTATCTCTATCTCCTCTCAGACTGCTAAGATTTCCAGCTTCCCCTGACAACTGAGACCTGGTACACACTACAGAGTTATGTTGATGTAAGGCAGCTTACGTCAACTTAACAATGTCAGCTTCTATACTAGAGTGTTCCTTCCACTGACATAAGTTGTCTGCTAAATCAACGTGTAGACGCTGTATTACTTACACCACCTTAACTGGTCTCCAGGAGCTGTCACACAATGCACACTGTGATCTCTCTGGTCACCATTTTCAACTCCACTGCCCAGAGCCAAATTTCTTTCAGGCCCTCACTGTTTTCTTCCTCAGCTGCTGCTACACTCTTTCTGGCCTACCAAACACACACACAGCCCACATCAGTGCATTCAACACATATTTGCTAAACTCATCTTCCTTACCTGTGAGTTTGATCAGATTACTTGCCTCTGAATATTTTTGAATCCTTCCATTGGCTCTGTCTGCTCTTCTATCACATCAAAGTTTCTTGTCATTGCCTTCAAAGTTTGGTTTACCTCTCTCAACTTATCCTCATTGGTCAAGCTTTGCAAAGTCTCCTGCCCGATCCATTCTCTGCCTTGTTCCCAGCTTCTCATTCAGTCACTTTCATACTTTGTCATGCAGCCCCACAGATATAGTACAACTATTCTAAGCTCATCTCTCTTCTCCATCTTTAAGGTCTACACAGAGTTAAAGTGTTAAGCCAAGGTGTGACGCGACAGCACACTTGTAGTAGTAACCTGTGTGGGCTCTGCTACAGCACACTATGGAACTTTTAGAGCACTGTACCAGAGCTAACATGGGACTTGACTGCACAGCAAGCTCACATGCTGTAGATTCACACCCTGACTTGCCACACACACTAACTTACCATGTCGACTAGTTCTAAATTGCTCTGATAGGCTTTTCTCCCCTGCTGCCTTTAGTGAATCTAGTTAACTTGTACAAAAATTACCTGTTTTTCCCCTAAACTGTATACTTGTCTGTCTTTTGATTGCTAGCTCCTTAGAGATCATCCATCTTCAAATGTTTGACAAATAATTAGTACATTGTTTATGGTAGTATTCGTATTGTTTTCTATACAAAATTCTAAAACACAATAAAATGGAAATATGGGGCAATACAACTAGTTGAGTTTAGAACAACAGAAATGAAGAAAGATGTACTGAATCATCATAAATGTTAATTTACCTGAAGCTGCTGCAAAATTTCTAGCCCACTGCATGGAGTATTGCACTAATAACCTGAGGGCTTTTCTGCAGAATTCAGTTTATTTGCCTATAGACAAAACAGCTAGTTTTTGATCTCTTCCTGTTTCTCATGTAGACAACATATTGGTCTGAATTCCACTTTCCATTACAGTTAGATTGCTTTGCTTTAGCATGCTGTTCTAATAGCTGTTTTCTATCTAATAAAGAGTTAACACATGCATTAAATAACTACTTTCCCCAGATATATTTTTACTCTTTTCTAATGTGACTGTTTTGAATATTTTAATAGGCTAAACATGATTATGTAAATATGTATAATCTTACACTCAGAACAGCAACTTTGTTTTGCCTGAATTATGAACTCTCAATTTTGAAATTAATTTTCTATTAATCAAAGTTAGACTTTGTTGATCTTTGTGGCCTGGTGTAAGGGGTGTCTGTTTACTCTGGACTTTGCCTACCAGCTGGGAGCAACAAGAGAAGATTTATAGAGTAGTGTAACAAGTTTCTTTTTAATAACGCTTTAAAATAATTTGAGATTTTTTTCCTTTACTAGGCTAAATGAAGGAGATGCTTACAATCTACTCAAAGATTTTTCACTTCTTATTAAAGCAATTGGGTATGATATACATATGTACTAACAAAACAGAATTTTAATGTGTATCTTTTTATGTCTCCCAAGCAATTTTATGTTTTTTTTTTTCTTCCCCAAACAGAACATCCTTAGGTGAACTTTGTGATGATCCAAATGACAATGTTGTACTTGCATTTCAACAACTGAGTGAAAGCTACAGTGCAAAACTGTAGTCTGAGCATCACATACTCTGTAAAGTTTGAAGAAATTACAGTAACACAGGGGTTGGCAACCTATGGCACGCGTGCCAAAGGCTGCACGCGAGCCAAAGGCTGCACGCGAGCTGATATTCAATGGCATTCACACTGCCCGGGTCCTGACCACCAGTCTGGGGGGCTCTGCATTTTAATTTAATTTTAAATGAAGCTTCTTAAACATTTTAAAAACCTTATTTACTTTACATACAACAATAGTTTAGTAATATGTTATAGACTTATAGAAAGAGACCTTCTAAAAACGTTAATGTATTATGGGCATGCAAAACCTTAAATTAGGGTGAATAAATGAAGATTCGGCACACCACTTCTGAAAGGTTGCCGACCCCTGCAGTAACAGTCTTCTGGACAGAAGACCTGGACAAAAAATAGTTTTAGCAGCTAATTTAAGTTGAGTGATTAGCCTCTATTCACTTTTCATTCTCAAACACACTTGGAATAAAAATTACAATAAATCTATTGGGTTTTAGTCATTAAGGAATTGGCCCATTTTCTTTTAATTATAAATACAAATTATTCATTTTAAAGCTTGTACTATACTTGGGATGTTTAATTTAAAACAGATGTGTTAAGCTTAATATTGAACTGTTAGTGTTTTTGTAACAAAGGATGTAACTAGACAATTGTATCATTTTTCAAATTAAAATGTATGTTTTAACCAGAGTTTTTTGAAGCGTCTATTAAAAAAAAAAGTCAATGCCCTTTACACTTGGAAGTTTCTAGGGACAGCTATTTGTAGCTCACTATCTGTCATTAACAGATGGCTACAGAGGCCACAAGTCATTGTACATTAAATGAAAGCATGTTAAACTGCTGTGAGGATGCTCTCACACAGGAGTCAAGTGGCATGGCCTTTAATTTATGTACACTGACTTCACACTTGTATCTGATTTGCCTTCCTTATCTGACCTATGACCTTATAGACACAACCCTAGGACAATGCTGGAGCATCCCTATTCTCCAAAAAGATCATGCATGACAGCTGCAAGATATCTTAAAAGTAGGCAGCACTAAAGCTAGTAGCAAATTATTCACACAGGCTTGTGCTGTGTGTCAGCAAGTAGACTTTGGCCATATCTACACACACATATGCAAATAGTTGCAGCCACTTAAGTGGTACATAGCCCTTTATGGAAATACTTAATTTCAGAATATCCAAGTAGAGATTTACACCAGTTAACTAAACTGTAACCTGTCCTTTAAATCAGCTTCTGTACCCAATGACAGGAAGATAGCTAATATAACACCAATATTTAAAAGGGGCTCTAGAGGTGATCCCGGCAATTACAGACCAGCAAATTACTTGAAACAATCATAAAGAATAAAATTGTCAGACACACAGAACATAAATTGTTGGGCAAAAGTCAGCATGGTTTCTGTAAAGGGAAATCATGTCTTACTAATCTATTAGAATTCTTTGACAGGGTCAACAAACATGTGGACAAGGGGGAATCCAGTGGACATAGTGTACTTAGATTTCCAGAAAGCCTTTGACAAGGTCCCCTATCAAAAGCTCTTACATAAACTAAGTTGTCATGGGATAAGAGGGAAGATCCTTTCATGGATTGAGGACTGGTTAAAAGATAAGGAACAAAGGGTAGGAATATGATAAATTTTCAGAATGGAGAGGGGTAACTAGTGGTGTTCCCCAAGGGTCAATCCTACGACCAATCCTATTCAACTTATTCATAAATGATTTGGAGAAAGGGGTAAAAAGTGAGGTGGCAAGGTTTGTAGATACTAAACTGCTCGAGATAGTTAAGACCAAAGTGGAATGTGAAGAACTTAAAAAAGATCTCACAAAACCAGGTGATTGGGCAACAAAATGGCAAATGAAATTTAATGTGAATAAATGTAAAGTAATGCACATTGGGAAAAATAACACTAACTCTACATACAATATGATGGGGGCTTATTTAGCTACAACTAATCAGGAAAACAAGCTTGGAGTCACCGTGGATAGTTCTCTGAAAATGTCCACGCAGTGTGCAGCAGCAGTCAAAAAAGCAAAGAGGATGTTAGGAATTGTTAGAAAGGGGATAGAGAATAAGACTGAGTATCTTATTGCCCTTATATAAATCCATGGTACGCCCACATCTTGAATACTGCGTACAGATGTGGTCTCATCTCAAAAAAGCTATACTGGCATTAGAAAAAATTTAAGAGAAGGGCAACTAAAATGATTAGGGATTTGGAACGGATACCATATGAGGAGAGATTAAAGAGCTAGGACGTTTCAGCTTGGAAAAGAGGAGATTAAGGAGGGATATGATAGAGGTATATAAAATCATGAGTGATGTGGAAAAAGTGAATAACGCAAAGTTATTTACTTGTTCCCATAATAGAAGAACTAGGGGCCACCAAATGAAATTAATGGGCAGCAGGTTTAAAACAAATAAAAGGAAGTTCTTCACACAGCACACAGTCAACTTGTGGAACTCCTTGCCTAAGAAGGTTGTGAAGGCTAGGACTATAACAGGGTTTAAAAAAGAACTGGATAAATTCATGGAGGTTAACTCCATTAATGGCTATTAGCCAGGATAGGTAAGCAATGGTGGCTCTAGCCCAGGGGTTCTCAAACTGGGAGTTGTGACCTCTCAGGGGTCACGAGATATTACCTGGGGGGTTGCAAGCTGTCAGCCTCCACCCAAAACCCTGCCTCACCTCCAGCATTTATAATAGTGTTAACTATTTTAAAAAGTGTTTTTAATTTATAAGGGGGGGGGTTCGCCCTCCATGGCTTGCTGTGCGAAAGGGGTCACCACTACAAAAGTTTGAGAACCACTGCTCTAGCCTCTGTTTGTCAGAAGGTGGTGATGGACAGCAGGAGAGAGATCACTTGATCATTACCTGTTAGATTCACTCCCTCTGGGGCACCTGGCATTGGCTACTGTCGGTAGACAGGATACTGGGCTGGATGGACCTTTGGTCTGACCCAGTACGATCATTCTTATGTTTGTCTAAAGACAAGGCTAGACAGTGGGAGGGTCCCTCAAAAGAATACATGATTTTATTTTTTTGCTATTGGATGATTTTGAGAAGTCCCATATTGTCTTAATCCAATGATTTTTTTAAAATACATAAAGTTGGAGCCTATCACCCTTGGCAGTGGATCCTAAATAAGTTCTTGTCTGATTATGAATAATTATAGCAAAGTGGAACCAAGCTTGTAACAAATTTCAGGGAAGGATAGTGAAACAAAGCTTTAGCAATCACTCTAGTAGTCTTGCGCTCTTTAAAATTACTACAGAGAATGGTTTGTAGCCTAGAGTACAAGGAAGTGGAAATATTATTAAAGCTTTAGGCTGAGATTTTTAAAGGCATCTAGGGATGTGGATGCCTAGTTCTCATTAATAATTAATAAATCTCACTTTAGTGTGGGATTTTCAAAAGGGCTCAGTAATGGCCTGTTACTGCAACCCTTAGAATAAATGATACAACCCCCATTAGCTGCAAGGGTAGCAGTTAGTTCACTCTTGACTGATTTGAAAAATCCACACTAAAGATGTGAACTGGAAAAAAAAAATGAAGACAGATACAGCTAGCACATGACCAATTACTGCTCATGCACACAGTGTAGTAAAAGACAACTGGTGTCTGACTATGAAAATAGCTGCTTGGCACCAGCTAGCTTGTGCAAAGTTCAATTTATCTAGCTCATCCATACCAGATAAAGTACTTAATACCCCATTTAAGTCTGACAGAGTGGCTGAAATCATATTTTCCCTAACTTAGAAATAAACTCTAAGGGCTGGTCTACACTTGAAATGTTACAGCAGCACAATAGCTGTAGTTCTTCAGTGTAGATACTACCTATGCCAATGGGAAGGGTTCTCCCATCAGCACAGGTAATCCATCTCTCTGCGAGTAACCAGGGTTAAGGTGAGTATAGTTAGGTCTTTCAGGGGTGTGGATTTTTCTCAGCCCCAGGAGAAGTAGCTGCGCCAGTATACGTTCTCAACATACACCAGCCCTAACAGACGTCCAAATGCTACTGCTTCAATCCTGTAACAGTGACTTTTCTGAAGAGAAATAGTATTTTACTAGTGTATTAGAATACACAGAGTGGACGGCCGACTGGTCCTTTTACCATAGCCAACCATTTGAATGTTCATATGGAATGCTATCATATGAGCATGCTCTTCTGGTTTAGGGGAGAAATCACCCATGTAGCTCTTGACTAAGATCAATGAGAAAGCTTCTCCAACACCACTACACAAATCTATTAGATCTGCAGAAAAGTTGGTAGTATTACAAAATAAAAGGAGAAAGCATGGAAGAGGAATTCAGTATGTTGTCACCAATAAAATCATTCTATAGAATTAATGTTCAGGTGCTGCTGTGAAATTTCTCCTCTAGCATATTTAGGTTTTTGCTATGTTCTCACAAAAGATTACTTTCATTTCAATAGTAGCATCCAGGCAGAGAGGGTTATTCATTTGAGAGAATGAAATGATGATTAAGACCTTGTGGAGTAGTTTGAAGTCAGAGGATCTGCTTGCTTATAGTCCAATCCTGCAATTTATTCTCCGTGTGAGCCTATACCACTGAAGTCAAAAAGAACTGTCATTGACTTCAGATCAATGGCACCCAATTGGCTCCTAAGAATCAGAATTCAGAGTTCTTCTTTCTAGTACAGTATGGATGCTTCTCCCTATAATTCAGCTTCATTGTCTACCAGTATCTCATACTCTGAAGACTTAAAAGGGAAAAAACCTATTGTCATGGCTAGAATGCTGTTCCAAGCACATTTAGGACTGCTTCATACTCTAGCTAACCATGTACTTTCTGGAGCCATTCACATGGATCACGCTCCCTGCTGGGTCTCAGAGGCAGTTTGTTAAAAGATGCTTTGCAACTCAGGGATCATTTTTGTTTAGAAGCGCACCTGCTGTTTATTAAATGTCTACTTTAACTTCCAGTAGCACTACTGCAATGGCAAAAAATAAAATTCAAATTTCTAGAACTATCTTCACATACAAAAAGTCTTTGGTTTCATTAATGGGGACCCATACTTATTGGCCTATATATAAACTATAAACTAAATGAGAAATGGCATGTTACTGTTAAAAAGTTAGAAACTCAAATAATCAAATCACTTGAGTGTAATTAAATTACAAGACAAAAAACAGACTGGAACAATTTACTACTAATGGTTTTAAATATTTTAATATATTAGGTGGTGATATACTAAGCAAC